CATTTTTTTCAAATTGAAGGGGAAAATTTGAACTTTATGACGATGCAAACGGCGTCCCCGAAAAAAATTGTCCACGTCCGTGCATTCCGTCAAACTTTGCACTTTTCAGTATATCAAACATGCCCTCAGATGTCAGGGGTTATAAGGGTAGGGGGGTGTATCGCATGCAAAAAACGGAGATGCATTCTTAAAGTAGAGACTTCAAACTTCATTTTGAAGAAAAAATCATTAGTCTAACAATAATTTTTCGCGAAGTAATCGCCAGTTAAAGTGGGCCAATTTTCGGTAATAAAATTATCTATGCCATAATTCTTTTGAGCACTGTATGTTGCGGATAACAGGAAGCAATCAAACGAATTAGGCTGGAGCAATACAGAATACGAATAATATTAATGGTGGCAAACGATCGCGGCGATCGACAACGGTTGAAATCTTTGGGCCACCATGTACTTCCTGATTCCCAAAAAACCACAATGATATCGCAATCTGTTTATCAGGTGATATTGTATTAGGGCCTCGATCTCTATATAATAATGGACCAAAGTCTTGTACTAGTTGTTCAAATGTCCTTTTTTCCATACGAAAATGTGTTTTAAAATCTGCAGGGTACATAAATGTTGTATTACTTTTTTTATATGTCTACTACTTATTGTAATTATATATACTTTTCCTATCCTATAATAATACAAGTCTGATTAATTGTTACCATTTAAGGAGTAGGTTCCCACAATGTTTTCATAAAAATTTGCAATTTTTATATGCCGCTCTCGTACAAGTGCCAAGTACTCATCTTCTAATTCTTCTTCAAAAAATAAGTCCCACATACAGGGTGAAGAAAAAACCCCGGGACCCCTGAAAATTTCGAAAAATATACACTTTATAAAAGAATGTTTCAGACAAATGTTGTAGCGTTGAAAAATATCTATTTACCGATCTTAACAATTTGATCTTGAGTGGCGTCATCAAGGTCAGGACAAGGTCACCTCGGGTTTTCTAAATAGAACTCCCAATTTTTTATTGCATATTCTTATAGCCCTTCTTCAGACCTTTTTAAAGCACTATAGTTTTATCCAATTTGAATAAGCTGTTTTGAAGTTATCGAGTTTCTTAAAGTAAGATATCTAGTGCGACGTTTTTCACTAATCGACCAAGGAGATCCGCGCAAGATTTACCGTCGCAAGGAATTCCGCCGGTAGCGGGACACGGCGGGTCCGATCCGACCCAAATCGTATATCGCTCAAAATACCACCAAATTTGTGGGCGCCAAGTACGGAGACGGCCGTACCACCGATTCTCGCCAAAGTCACCAAAGTTACCGTCGGATCGCGATACCCGCTTACCACCCCCCGTGCGGGACCGATTAGCTCCCTGTTATTTAAGTCGAATGTGGGCGGGGTCGTAAAATAGAGTATTACTACTAACCCGGTCTCGTCTGTTTATCTCAACATGCAATATATTTACAAATTAACCGGCGCAGCGGGCGAGACGGCTAGCCTCCGCTCGCCCGATCGTTCCGCGCGCACCAAGAGCTCGTTGGTTCGAGCCATCGACGACTTCGCCGTCCGATGGTCTCCGCCAAGGATCGCCACCGCCACATGGTGGTCGACACCAACGTCTCGGGCCGCGATCTCCGGAAAGGAGATCCGGCCACCCTCGCAATAGGCAAACAGTCGTATGAGCTTACGCAGCGACTTCCTCTGGCTGGTCCGGCTCCATGGCGGCGGACGTACCCTGCACTTCGCCTCTCTCTCGCCTCTCGGCTCGCTCACTCGCCCTTGCTCGCGCTCGTTCACTCGCCCTTGCTCGTGCTCATTCACTCGCCCTTGCTCGCGCTCGTTCACTCGCCTTTGCTCGCGCTCGTTCACTCGCCCTTACTCGCGCTCGTTCACTCGTTCGCTCGTTCACTCGTTCACTCGTTCACTCGTTCGTTCGTTCGCTCGTTCGCTCGTTCGCTCGCTCGTTCGTTCGTTCGCCCGCTGGGTCGCTCGCTGGTTCGCGCGTTCGCTCGTTTACTCGCTCGCTTGTTCGCTTCGGATCCCAGGATGGAATAGGACGACTTCTTCCTGTCGTTGCGGGGACATCGGCTCGGAGGCCCCCACTCGCGGGACCTCCCAGGGAGCCTTGCGCGGTCCTGCCGCCGTGCTCTGCCGTCTCGCCGAATCTTTTCCTTGCCGTGACCACTGTCGCGTCTCACCCCGAATTCGCGGCCAACTAAGGCAAAATCGTAGGATGATCCGGCCAACTAAGGCAAGATCGTAGGATGATCCGACCAATTAAAGCAAGATCGGAGGATGATCCAGCCAACTAAGGCAAGACCGGAGGATGATCCAACCAACTAAGGCAAGATCGGAGGATGATCCGGCCAATTAAGGTAAGATCGGAGGATGATCCGGCCAACTAAGGCAAGACCGGAGGATGATCCAGCCAACTAAGGCAAGATCGTAGGATGATCCGGCCAACTAAGGCAATACTGGAAAGCTTTAAAGTAATTGTTCAAAATGTCTGCCATCAACAGTTTGTCAATAAGCTAATCTATCGTAAAAAGATGAAACGGCTTTTTGAATGTAATCAGCAGGGATGAGAGTAGCTTCATCAAGAATTCGATTTCTTAAGTCATCCAAATTTTGTGGTTTCGTTTTGTAAACTCTATCTTTTAAATGGCCCCACAGGAAGTAATCGTTAGGTGATAAATCGGGTGATCGAGGAGGCCATTCTATAGGTCCTCTTCTACTTATCCATTGATGAGGAAACACCGTGTCCAGATAATTACGGACGTCCCTTCCGTAATGTGAGGGGACACTATTTTATTGGAACCATGTATGCTCGAAGTTGTCATCCATGATTGCCTGTATCGCTGGAACTATTTCGTTTCTTAGCATATTCTCATATTTTATCGCTGTTAGATTTTCGTCAATAAAGAGTGGACCTATGAGAACATTATTCAAAATGCCTATTCAAACATTCACTTTTTGTGGATACTGCGTGTGTTTCTTCAATCCAGTAAGGATTTGTATCTGACCAAAATCTACAATTGTGTCGATTAACGTGGCCATTTAACTGAAATGTTGCCTCATCTGAAAATATTACATTTGATAGATAGTTCGGATTTTCGGCTATTTTTTCCATCATCAAATCACAAAATTCAATGCTCCTATCAAAATCATTTTCATTTAGCTCTTGTACGATGGATAGCTCTTGTAAAGATGGATCTTATAAGGATGACATTTATTCATTTTCAATATTTGAAGCACAGATATTTAATCTATTTCATGTTGCTGTCCTATCTTGCGGGTCGAATCATACGGATTTTCGATAAAGGATTGTAGAACATCTAATGATTTTTCTATACTTGTTGCTGATACTGGCCTACCTGGTATTGCACGATTTTTCACACTTCCAGTTTCCTGAAAACGTCTTATCGTTCTTTCGACGGTAGATTTTGAAATGGCATTACCCTGATTACGAAAAGTTTCTTTAAAAATCCGCCTCACATCATTATACGACCTTAGTCGATCATCCCATCCTCTCATCATCAAAAGAGATATGCGTTCTCGTTCTGAAAGACTTGCCACATCGACAAGCAGAAGTGGTAAGATTTAATTTAATCGATTAAATTAATATTTGGATCAATTCAAAGTTATTCTAAAGACAGTGCTGAAGAATAATAATGAGCACGGAATGAAGTGCAATTAAGTCAGCTTACAACTAGCTTCAAACTGTTTCTTAATAATTTTCAAAAAAATAGAGGAATTTCAGTCGAGTTTGCGATTCACTAAACTGTAATGAGTATTAAATGAGTAAATAGAAGAAATAAATATCGAACAGCAGAATAGTTCAAATAAATAAATAATTGAAATAAATCAATCAACGAAATTAAGACAAGCCAATAGGAGCCAACGCCTGGAAGTTAGTCGCACAATTATTTTTACGAGTTGGCTGGATCATCCTCCGATCTTGTCTTAGTTGGCTCCATCACTCCGACCTTGCCTTAGTTGGGCGGATCATCCTCCGATCTTGCCTTGGTTGGCTAGATATCTTACTTTAAGAAACTCGATAACTTCGGAACAGCTTATTCAAATTGGATAAAACTATAGTGCTTTGAAAAGGTCTGAAGAAGGGCTATAAAAATATGCAATAAAAAATTGGGGGATCCATTTAAAAAATCCAAAGTGACCTTATCCTAACCTTGATGACGCCACCCGAGGTCAAATTGTTAAGATCGGTAAATAGATTTTTTTCAACGCTATAACTTTTGTCTGAAACATTTTTTTATAAAGTGTATATTTTTCGAAATTTTCAGGGGTCCCGGGGTTTTTTCTTCACCTTGTATTTATTAAATCCATTTTTCTCCCTGTAAATATATGAATATCACTTATAATTAATTTATTATTACAACGTGATAATATATTGTTGTAAGTGATTTGACATGATTTGTTTTTGAAGAAATTATTTTATTTTATTATTTATTATTTTATTAATTTTATTAATTTTATTATTTTATTAAATATATAATATATTTATCTTCTAAAATATAATATATTTATCACCTGCTTGAATGAAAAAGACCCGTGACAATCCGGTCGCTATTTGAGACAGGATATAGCAGAACATGAAATATTAAGATTATAAAGCGGCATTCGTACTTTTGATCCGAAACTAACCCTGAGTGCTTCGTCGTAAGCACCCAACATAGACTACGTTTACACAGCCGAATTTACGCCAAAGTTATAACGATGTTATAACCACTGACGTTGTAGGTCTCTGGGTATTTTTAATTGTCCTACCAATACAAATTCAGTCTTTTTATTAATATCACTCACAATCAGGTACACTTACAATTTCACACTGACATATATGTTCGAGACTTTATTACTGCTGAAGCGATCTGGTTCTTCTAACTATATCGGATCGTCTCTCTTTTCCTTTTGCTCCTTTTCCCGGTCTGAGTGTTTCGCATTAATCGGTATGTTCGTAGGTGGCGCCGTCTCAAAGCCGCCACAATACTCCCCCCTGAGTGACTGAAGTACTAAGTCGCGAATTTGACTGTTCTGTTTCGTTCCTTCGGGGTGCAGGAAATGTCTGCCGTGGATGGTCCTGGTTGCGGGTTTGTTTCCTCCGCGCTTCCTTGTCCTTGTGGTTCTGCAGCTTCCATGAACGCTGGTTTCAGTCTATCTATGTTGATGGTCGCCTGTTGTCCTTTGTAATTTACCCTGAAAAGAGAGTCGTTAATTTTGCTCATAACTACGAATGGCCTCTCGTATGGTTGCTCTAACGGCCCTCTCGGTCTGTCTACGCGTACAAATACGTGCGTGTTATTCTCCAATTCTTTGTGAATGAATGGTTTGCTCTTAACATGATGAGCTGCGGGTACTGCTCTACTTGTCCTCATGTATTTCCGGAACTTCTCTGCGAACATCTGTGGATATCCCGTTGGTTCTTCTGCAGCAAAATATTCTCCGGGTAATTTCAGTGTCGTGCCGTATACTAACTTTGCCGTGGATGCCTTGATGTCTTCTTTGTAACTCGTCCTTAAACCGAGTAGTACGACCGGTAATGCTTCCACCCAGTTTTGCGTCTCATGACATTTTATTGCAGTTTTTAATGACCTGTGCCATCTTTCAATCATTCCATTGGACTGTGGGTGGTAAGCTGTCGTGCGGATTCGTCTACTACCAATGAGCTTCGTCAAGGCGTCGAAGAGGAGTGACTCGAATTGACTTCCCCTGTCCATTGTTATGATAAGTGGTGCTCCAAATCTAGCTATCCAGGTAGTGAAGAAACTCGTTGCTATCGTATCGACTGATGTGTCGGTTATCGATGTGTCGCTTCAGGCCATCTTGTATATCTGTCTATCATAGTTAGATAGTATCTGTTACCCTTTACTACTGGTAACGGTCCTACGATGCCCAGGTGTATGTATTGGAAACGTTCGTCAGGAATATTAATGTGCTCCGGGAACCATCGGTTATGGCGTTGAATTTTAGTACGTTGGCACGGTAAGCATGTCCGGACCCATGCCGCCACCTCTTTGTTCATGTTCGGCTATATGAAGCGTTTGGCTATGGCTTTGCGGGTTGCTTTTGCTTCTGGGTGTGATGCGCCATGGACTGTCTGAATTATTCTTTTGCGTAATGTAGCTGGAATGTAAATTCATATTTGATTTGTGACGTCACAATAGATTGTTTTTTCAGAATCATCTAGTCGCAACTTTTTTAGTGTGAGTGCAGATTGTCCCTGTAATAGAGTTTGTAGTTCCGCGTCATTTTGTTGTTCCTCTGCTATTTCCTGCGTGCTGACAATCACTGGCATGTCTATTGCTTCAATCCTGGAAAGCGTGTCTGCTGTGACGTTGTTTTTTCCTGGTATATACTCCATGTTATTGATGAATTAGCTTATGAAGCTGAGTTGCCGTACTTGTCGTGGGGAAGCCTTATCTGGTCTCTGGGCTAGTGCATATGTTAGTGGTTTATGATCCGTCCTTACTGTTAATTCGCGCCCTTCTATCATGTATCTGAAAAATTTAATGGCTTCGTAAATTGCAAGTAATTCGCGATCATATGCACTGTATTTCATTTGTGTCTGGGTTAACTTTTTGGAAAAGAATCCTAGTGGTTGTTTTAGTCCGTCACTACGTTGCTCTAGGACTGCTCCTATTGCCACGTCTGATGCATCGGTGCACAACGTCAACGCTGCGTTTAGGATTGGATGTGCTATTAATGTAGCTTCTGCTAATTGCTTTTTGCTGCTCTCAAATGTTTGTTCTGCTTCTTTATTCCAGTTCAGTGGTCGTTTGTCTTTCTTAGTCGCTCCTACGGTGAGCGCATGTAGCGGTGCTTGTGTTCTTGCAGCGTCTGGGAGAAAACGTCGATAAAAATTTATCATTCTTAACAACCTACGTAGTTCCTCGATGGTTTTTGGTTTTGCTATTCGTAGTATCGCTTCGACTTTAGCTCGTATTGGTTTGGTACCATCCTTGTTAATTGTACATCCGAGGTATTGGACTTCTGGTTGGCCTAAGATACATTTCTCAACGTTAATACTGAGGCTGTGCTCCTTTAATCTTCTAAAGACTTGCCGTAGGTGGTCCATGTGCTCCGTCTTTGTCCGAGATGCTATCAGGATGTCATCTAGGTAACAGAAACAGAATTCTAGTCCTCTAAGTACTGTATCCATCAGACGTTGAAATGTTTGCGCTGCGTTTTTTAGGCCGAATGGCATGACATTAAATTCGAATAGACCGAAAGGGGTGATTAAGGCTGTTTTTTCCTTGTCCCGCGCAGTCATTGGTATCTGGTGATACGCTCTGGTTAAGTCTATGGTACTGAATACCATGTAGCCGTGAAGTTGATGAGCGAAATCTTGCAGATGTGGAATCGGGTACCTATCCGGTATTGTTATTTTGTTTAATCTTCGATACTCCGCAGATTCTCCATTCTCCGTCTTTTTTAGGCATGAGGTGCATCGCACTCGCCCATTGGCCACTTCCTGGTTGGCAGTCTCCTTTTTTTATCCAGTTGTCGATTTCCTTTTTAGCAAATCTTAGTTTCTCTGGAGATAAACGTCTCGCACGGTCTATAATGGGATGACCTTTAGTTAGTATATAATGTTCTATTGTATGTTTGTTTGTTCTTGTATGTGCAGGTTTCGTGAATCGTTAAACTCTGTTAGTATTTGTGAGAAGACGTTCTGGTGTTTGAGTATGTATACCGACTGTGTTTGCTTATGCGTAACCTGTGCTATGACCTTCAGCTGTGTATATCCGTCTATGAGCCTTCTGTTTCTTAAATCTATCAGGAGGTTATAACGGTAGAAGAAATCAGCTCCCAAGATTGGCGTTGAAACGTCTGCGATAATAAATTTCCACTGGAGGCTGCGTCTTAGACCTAGATTTAATTCAAGCTCCCTATCTCCGTATGTCCTGATCTTTAATCCGTTTGCTGCGAAAAATTGATAGACTAGTTGCTTCGTTGCGCCGTTTACTAAAACTTTTCGGTAGCACTGATACGTCGGATCCTGTATCGACAAGGAAGTTGATTCCGATTTTCTTGTCTGTTATTCGGAGGCGGAGGTGTTTAAAGTGGCCGTTGATAGTTGCCTCTACCTGCTTTGGCCTCTTTAGTTTTCCGAGGCTTTAGTTTCATTATAATATGCACATGATTTTTGACATCGCCTTGCTTGATTTCCAAAACGTGAGTGGTAATAACAAATTATATTATTGGAATCTTTACTCACGCTTCGATTTCGGCTTTTGGATCTCGGTCTGGGGTCTCTACGATTGCCTCTGTTCCATGATTGGCCTCGCTTGTACCTGACTGAAAGCTTTTCCACCATATTTTTGATCTCGTTGATTTGCGCTTGTATCCCCGGTGCTGTACTGCTTGTCTCCGGTTGGTGGGCGCCAGCTTGGATTATAGCTAATTGCGGCTTGACTTCTAATTGAGCTAATTGAGCTTACTTCCATTATTTTGTTTGTCTGCATCGCCAAGGTGTCCAGGTCGTCCTCGGGTGAGATCGCTAATATGCCGCGCGCGCTTTCTGGGAGTTGTTCTAAAAACAGAGTACGAATTACAGAATCGCTACCCTCGCTGCCGGCCAAATTTCGTAAGCGTTGTAAGAGATGTGAGGGTTTATCGTCGCCCAGCTCCTGGCCCCGTAGTAGCTTGCGCAACTTGGCTTCCTTGGATTCGCCGAAGGCTCCGATAATTCTCTTCTTGATCGCTACGTATTTGTTTTGGTTTGGCGGGTCTGTGATCAAGTCCGTGACGAAAGGAATTATTGTCGGGTCCAAGTTGCTTATGATGTGCCGATATTTGGTTTCGTCGCTTGAAATGCGGTTGAGCGCGAACGTAGCTTCTACTACATTGAACCAATGAGTGGGCATTTCGCGCCAGAGAGGTTGTGGTAACTTTACCCGCTGCGTTGTATTAATCCATGCCTCGTCTAACCTCCCTTGAGACGGGATCGCATCGGTTGTTCCGGAAGCTGAGCCTCGAGAGTCCCTTGTTGCGATCGGACGTGCACCGCTTTCGGGCTGTCGAGCCTCGTTCTGCTCGCCGGCAGTAGATTCCATATTGCCACGTGTCGGGGAACGGTTAAGCGGCATGCTCTCGAAAGTTTTTCTGCTGCTTTCGGTTTTTGGGGTGACCAGTTGTAGGTCTCTGGGTATTTTTAATTGTCCTACCAATACAAATTCAGTCTTTTTATTAATATCACTCACAATCAGGTACACTTACAATTTCACACTGACATATATGTTCGAGACTTTATTACTGCTGAAGCGATCTGGTTCTTCTGACTATATCGGATCGTCTCTCTTTTCCTTTTGCTCCTTTTCCCGGTCTGAGTGCTTCGCATTAATCGGTATGTTCGTAGGTGGCGCCGTCTCAAAGCCGCCACAACGTTAGATGCCGTGTAAACACTCCTTTACGACGAAGTTATTACATTGATGTAATAACTCAAAGTCATTTGGTGAAGAGGCTTAGAGTTTCTACATCGACGTAAGGAAGACGTGTAAACAGACGCAGTGTAAATATGACAATAATACCAATATAAAAATTGAACATCTTAACTTGATTGTAAAATTGATTTATGTCGTGAAAATTGTAATATGGGTCCGAGATCAAGCAAATGATTTGGTGGTGTTAAATTCAACAAATGTTGTAATATAATTTTTTCTGATACTTTCGCCGTTTAATCAAAATATTTCGTACATATAGTATATATTGCGTCATATTTTCTATTATTTTCAAATATATAGCAATAAACGAGCGTACGCTTTCCACATTTTCCATGATTAATTTTTTCCAGAATTGATAACCTAAAATTTTAATTTCATTTTTAGTTAAATATTATATTTTATTATATAAATTTTACTATATAGATATATACATATTTTATAATTTTCAAATTCATAATATAACCTAAAAGTTTACTTTATTTATTGATTTATTTACATACTATTCTTTTCATATTCTAATTCTTTTATATTCAGACTACAATCACAATCATTTCATTTTTCGGCCTTTTATATTGGTACTAATGGAAATCCTTGATTCACTCGAAAGTTATTAAGTTATTTCAAATAGATAAGCGTAAATGTGTAAACGCAACTCACCTTAAGTAGGAGTTATAACATTAGCGTTAAGGCCATCACACGTAGAAAAATTTTAACCGTAACCGTAAGGTTGTAAGAAAACTGACCAATCACAGTCGATCCATTCTCTTGTGACATTATAATAATCGACTGTGATTGGTCAGTTTTCTTACAACCTTACGGTTACGGTTAAAATTTTTCTACGTGTGATGGCCCTGACTAAAGCTAAGACTCCATGCATGCGGTGAACTGCGGCAAACGGTTGCGGTGACCAATCAGGAGGGAGGCGCAAATCCGGTTGCGGCAAGCTCCGGCATGCGTCTGTCTCCTGATTGGTCACCGCAACCGTTTGCCGCAGCTCACCGCATGCATGGAGTCTTAGCTTAAAGCTAAGACTCCATGCATGCGGTGAGCTGCGGCAAAAGCTGCGGTGACCAATCAGGAGGGAGGCGCAGGTCCGGTTGCGGCAAGCTCCGGCATGCCGCACCGCACTGCGTTGCGATTAAAATATTTTAATTTTTCCGCACTGTGCCGCACGTCATACGTGCGTCGGATGAATTTGAGAACGCAAAAAGTAGTGAATTTACAACCATCCTTTTTGTAGGTTACGTTATATGTCATACGATACACAAACATGGATTTAATAAGTGAGGACTATTCATGTACGGAATATAGTCCTGAGGGTATCAATGAGTTAATAATCCATTATGTAAGAAACCGCCCACAATTGTGGGATTTGAAAGATAAGTGCTACCGAGATAATGGTCTGAAAAAAAAATTGTGATGTGAGGTTGCCCACGAACTTAATATGACTGGTATGTATTATTATTGTGTTATTATTTGAATTATTAGTATATATTATTTGAAAATGTGTATAAAAACAATGTATATGCATGGATTATATATGATTTTATATAATTTAAATAGAGGAGTTTGTGAAGAACCGTTGGAGAAATCTTCGAGATCGGTATATAAAGGAGAAAAAAAAGTCTGTAACAAAAAGTGGGCAAGCAGCTGTTCATTTTGTACCATAGTCATTTATGGAACATTTACATTTTTTATCCGATACAGTGGAACCTCGCAAGTAGGTGTTATACTTTCTTCAAATGTGAAGTTATAATAATTTTATTGTAGTTGATACAAAATTTATGATATTAATTTTTGTTTTTATTTCAATAACGAATGTAATTGTCAGTTTCTCATTTTCATAAACAGTATGCTCTCAAGTAAAGTAATAACTGTTTTATAATGTCTCAATTAGGACTATAACAAACTTCGAAAGTTTAGAACATCCCTTATCTAGAAGCGATATATCACCAACATCTTTGGAGACTTTTCAATCTGAAGAATATATGTACAACATACAAGAAGAGTTTCAAGGTAAGAGGAACAAAAGACGGCAAAAAGTAGGGTTTTGAGAGGACTTTAATTTGGTGCCAGAACCAGGCCTGTATCTCTAACCGTTTAGGAGATATCGAAGGTTAAAGTTTTCCAAGCTTTCTCCGTTGATATCTCCGCTTCTACTGGGAGTAGAGAGTCGTCACTTACGGCAAAATGTAGGGTTTAGAGAGGACTTTAATTTGGTGCCAGAACCAGGCCTGTATCTCTAACCGTTTAGGAGATATCGAAGGTTAAAGTTTTCCAAGCTTTCTCCGTTGATATCTCCGCTTCTACTGGGAGTAGAGAGTCGTCACTTACGGCAAAATGTAGGGTTTTGAGAGGACTTTAATTTGGTGCCAGAATCAGGCCTTAATCTCTAACCGTTTAGGAGATATCGAAGGTTAAAGTTTTCCAAGCTTTCTCCGTTGATATCTCCGCATCTACTGGGAGTAGAGAGTCGTCACTTACGGCAAAATGTAGGGTTTTGAGAGGACTTTAATTTGGTGCCAGAATCAGGCCTTAATCTCTAACCGTTTAGGAGATATCGAAGGTTAAAGTTTTCCAAGCTTTCTCCGTTGATATCTCCGCTTCTACTGGGAGTAGAGAGTCGTCACTTACGGCAAAATGTAGGGTTTTGAGAGGACTTTAATTTGGTTCCAGAACCAGGCCTGTATATCTAACCGTTTAGGAGATATCGAAGGTTAAAGTTTTCCAAGATTTCTCCGTTGATATCTCCGCTTCTACTGGGAGTAGAGAGTCGTCACTTACGGCAAAATGTAGGGTTTTGAGAGGACTTTAATTTGGTGCCAGGACCAGGCCTGTATCTCTAACCGTTTAGGAGATATCGAAGGTTAAAGTGTTCCAAGCTTTCTCCGTTGATATCTCCGCTTCTACTGGGAGTAGAGAGTCGTCACTTACGGCAAAATGTAGGGTTTTGAGAGGACTTTAATTTAGTGCCAGAACCAGGCCTGTATCTCTAACCGTTTAGGAGATATCGAAGGTTAAAGTTTTCAAAGCTTTCTCCGTTGATATCTCCGCTTCTACTGGGAGTAGAGAGTCGTCACTTACGGCAAAATGTAGGGTTTTGAGAGGACTTTAATTTGGTGCCAGAATCAGGCCTTAATCTCTAGCCGTTTAGGAGATATCGAAGGTTAAATTTTCCCAAGCTTTCTCCGTTGATATCTCCGCTTCTACTGGGAGCAGAGAGTCGTCACTTACGGCAAAATGTAGGGTTTTGAGAGGACTTTAATTTGGTGCCAGAACCAGGCCTGTATCTCTAACCGTTTAGGAGATATCGAAGGTTAAAGTTTTCCAAGCTTTCTCCGTCGATATCTCCGCTTCTACTGGGAGTAGAGAGTCGTCACTTACGGCAAAATGTAGGGTTTTGAGAGGACTTTAATTTGGTGCCAGAATCAGGCCTTAATCTCTAACCGTTTAGGAGATATCGAAGGTTAAATTTTCCAAGCTTTCTCCGTTGATATCTCCGCTTCTTCTGGGAGTAGAGAGTCGTCACTTACGGCAAAATGTAGGGTTTTGAGAGGACTTTAATTTGGTGCCAGAATCAGGCCTTAATCTCTAACCGTTTAGGAGATATCGAAGGTTAAACTTTTCCAAGCTTTCTCCGTTGATATCTCCGCTTCTACTGGGAGTAGAGAGTCGTCACTTACGGCAAAATGTAGGGTTTTTAGAGGACTTTAATTTGGTGCCAGAACCAGGCCTGTATCTCTAACCGTTTAGGAGATATCGAAGGTTAAAGTTTTCCAAGCTTTCTCCGTCGATATCTCCGCTTCTACTGGGAGTAGAGAGTCATCACTTACGGCAAAATGTAGGGTTTTGAGAGGACTTTAATTTGGTGCCAGAACCAGGCCTGTATCTCTAACCGTTTAGGAGATATCGAAGGTTAAAGTTTTCCAAGCTTTCTCCGTCGATATCTCCGCTTCTACTGGGAGTAGAGAGTCGTCACTTACGGCAAAATGTAGGGTTTTGAGAGGACTTTAATTTGGTGCCAGAACCAGGCCTGTATCTCTAACCGTTTAGGAGATATCGAAGGTTAAAGTTTTCCAAGCTTTCTCCGTTGATATCTCCGCTTCTACTGGGAGTAGAGAGTCGTCACTTACGGCAAAATGTAGGGTTTTGAGAGGACTTTAATTTGGTGCCAGAACCAGGCCTGTATCTCTAATCGTTTAGGAGATATCGAAGGTTAAAGTTTTCCAAGCTTTCTCCGTTGATATCTCCGCTTCTACTGGGAGTAGAGAGTCGTCACTTACGGCAAAATGTAGGGTTTTGAGAGGACTTTAATTTAGTGCCAGAACCAGGCCTGTATCTCTAACCGTTTAGGAGATATCGAAGGTTAAAGTTTTCCAAGCTTTCTCCGTTGATATCTCCGCTTCTACTGGGAGTAGAGAGTCGTCACTTACGGCAAAATGTAGGGTTTTGAGAGGACTTTAATTTGGTGCCAGAACCAGGCCTGTATCTCTAACCGTTTAGGAGATATCGAAGGTTAAAGTTTTCCAAGCTTTCTCCGTTGATATCTCCGCTTCTACTGGGAGTAGAGAGTCGTCACTTACGGCAAAATGTAGGGTTTTGAGAGGACTTTAATTTGGTGCCAGAACCAGGCCTGTATCTCTAACCGTTTAGGAGATATCGAAGGTTAAAGTTTTCCAAGCTTTCTCCGTTGATATCTCCGCTTCTACTGGGAGTAGAGAGTCGTCACTTACGGCAAAATGTAGGGTTTTGAGAGGACTTTAATTTGGTGCCAGAACCAGGCCTGTATCTCTAACCGTTTAGGAGATATCGAAGGTTAAAGTTTTCCAAGCTTTCTCCGTTGATATCTCCGCTTCTACTGGGAGTAGAGAGTCGTCACTTACGGCAAAATGTAGGGTTTTGAGAGGACTTTAATTTGGTGCCAGAACCAGGCCTGTATCTCTAACCGTTTAGGAGATATCGAAGGTTAAAGTTTTCCAAGCTTTCTCCGTTGATATCTCCGCTTCTACTGGGAGTAGAGAGTCGTCACTTACGGCAAAATGTAGGGTTTTGAGAGGACTTTAATTTGGTGCCAGAACCAGGCCTGTATCTCTAACCGTTTAGGAGATATCGAAGGTTAAAGTTTTCCAAGCTTTCTCCGTTGATATCTCCGCTTCTACTGGGAGTAGAGAGTCGTCACTTACGGCAAAATGTAGGGTTTTGAGAGGACTTTAATTTGGTGCCAGAACCAGGCCTGTATCTCTAACCGTTTAGGAGATATCGAAGGTTAAAGTTTTCCAAGCTTTCTCCGTTGATATCTCCGCTTCTACTGGGAGTAGAGAGTCGTCACTTACGGCAAAATGTAGGGTTTTGAGAGGACTTTAATTTGGTGCCAGAACCAGGCCTGTATCTCTAACCGTTTAGGAGATATCGAAGGTTAAAGTTTTCCAAGCTTTCTCCGTTGATATCTCCGCTTCTACTGGGAGTAGAGAGTCGTCACTTACGGCAAAATGTAGGGTTTTGAGAGGACTTTAATTTGGTGCCAGAACCAGGCCTGTATCTCTAACCGTTTAGGAGATATCGAAGGTTAAAGTTTTCCAAGCTTTCTCCGTTGATATCTCCGCTTCTACTGGGAGTAGAGAGTCGTCACTTACGGCAAAATGTAGGGTTTTGAGAGGACTTTAATTTGGTGCCAGAACCAGGCCTGTATCTCTAACCGTTTAGGAGATATCGAAGGTTAAAGTTTTCCAAGCTTTCTCCGTTGATATCTCCGCTTCTACTGGGAGTAGAGAGTCGTCACTTACGGCAAAATGTAGGGTTTTGAGAGGACTTTAATTTGGTGCCAGAACCAGGCCTGTATCTCTAACCGTTTAGGAGATATCGAAGGTTAAAGTTTTCCAAGCTTTCTCCGTTGATATCTCCGCTTCTACTGGGAGTAGAGAGTCGTCACTTACGGCAAAATGTAGGGTTTTGAGAGGACTTTAATTTGGTGCCAGAACCAGGCCTGTATCTCTAACCGTTTAGGAGATATCGAAGGTTAAAGTTTTCCAAGCTTTCTCCGTTGATATCTCCGCTTCTACTGGGAGTAGAGAGTCGTCACTTACGGCAAAATGTAGGGTTTTGAGAGGACTTTAATTTGGTGCCAGAACCAGGCCTGTATCTCTAACCGTTTAGGAGATATCGAAGGTTAAAGTTTTCCAAGCTTTCTCCGTTGATATCTCCGCTTCTACTGGGAGTAGAGAGTCGTCACTTACGGCAAAATGTAGGGTTTTGAGAGGACTTTAATTTGGTGCCAGAACCAGGCCTGTATCTCTAACCGTTTAGGAGATATCGAAGGTTAAAGTTTTCCAAGCTTTCTCCGTTGATATCTCCGCTTCTACTGGGAGTAGAGAGTCGTCACTTACGGCAAAATGTAGGGTTTTGAGAGGACTTTAATTTGGTGCCAGAACCAGGCCTGTATCTCTAACCGTTTAGGAGATATCGAAGGTTAAAGTTTTCCAAGCTTTCTCCGTTGATATCTCCGCTTCTACTGGGAGTAGAGAGTCGTCACTTACGGCAAAATGTAGGGTTTTGAGAGGACTTTAATTTGGTGCCAGAACCAGGCCTGTATCTCTAACCGTTTAGGAGATATCGAAGGTTAAAGTTTTCCAAGCTTTCTCCGTTGATATCTCCGCTTCTACTGGGAGTAGAGAGTCGTCACTTACGGCAAAATGTAGGGTTTTGAGAGGACTTTAATTTGGTGCCAGAACCAGGCCTGTATCTCTAACCGTTTAGGAGATATCGAAGGTTAAAGTTTTCCAAGCTTTCTCCGTTGATATCTCCGCTTCTACTGGGAGTAGAGAGTCGTCACTTACGGCAAAATGTAGGGTTTTGAGAGGACTTTAATTTGGTGCCAGAACCAGGCCTGTATCTCTAACCGTTTAGGAGATATCGAAGGTTAAAGTTTTCCAAGCTTTCTCCGTTGATATCTCCGCTTCTACTGGGA